ACCCGAACCAAAGGCAAATGCTTAACGGACTGATCCACCCAGATGCCCCTAGACATGTTAGAATTTAAAAGGATCTTGGCATTTATTTGGATGCCAGACTGCTCGTTGGTGTCCTGTTGAGAGTGGGGACATTCTGTTTTTAGGAAAGGGTGGGAAATGGTTGGATAACACATTTGAACAAGGGTCTTTACAAAAAGCTTGAACTGTGACACTTCTAGAGAAGGACCTATTTAGTATGAGACAGAAACTTCCCAAATTTATTTGACCATAGAACTTTTTCCACTCAGAGCTCCTTGTAGGTCCACATATTACAGACTGCACTTTGGCGGAAATGCTGATCCAGGCAAGTCTCTCATGATGAAAGGGGCAGTGAGAGAGTTGGCTCCCTTACATTGCTTATGTCCTCATTCAGTAACATTGCTTTATAGCTTTTTATTTTACTAAGTTCCTGTTTTCAGGGAGCTTATGTTCTAATAGGGAAGACTGTTGCGTTCATGGCTAACCATAATGGAAGACGTGATTGAGTGCCTGGAGGAAACCAACTGTGCTTAACTGGGAAGCCGTGATTAGGTTAAGCAATAATGAAAGGAAATCACTCAAAGAATGGGAATTTACACATATTTACACATAAATTCAAAGGTTTGGAGGACAAGCAGCATCCTTAAATAAAAGTCTAATGTCAAAGATTTGGACAGGCTGGGATGATGGGTCAGTATATATTCCTTTATCTCAGATGCCCTCTCCTCCTTCCCGAAAGCTTCTTTTCAGAATGGTGTCTTGCTGCAGATAGGCATTTCTGCATTTTAACTCCAGTCACCTTCAAATAGTGTCTCTATTGCACAAGGTCAGGCAGTGTGGATACTCTTACATAATACTTAGAGCTCCTACAAGGCCATGTCCATTGTCTCATCTTTCTCCACCAAAGTCCAGAGCTCAGATATGCTGTTCTTTTTTGTTGACAGTTACTAGAAGGTCCAGAGGTTTCAAACCTGGGCTGAATAAGCATTTCAACCAATGTTTTCTGCCAGAATAAGCATCTTCATAATCTAGCTGGTGTTCTGCACCATATCCGTTGCACTATGTTCTTTTAATAATCACCAGAGCATTTTATTCAATGTAAATTATACCTCGATGAGTGGGAATAACACTGAGCGGAGGCTGAGGCTCACCCCCCAGGATCCTGCCTCAAACTGCTGTCCAGCCTCAGTTTTCCCCTCCTTAACCAGCTCCTCTTAATAAATGATTTGCCCCTGATTCCTTATCACGGGTTCTGTTCCTAGGGAACCTGAATTAAAATCACTAAATATATGTCAAATTTTCTCCTGGACACACAGTAAACACCACTTATTAATCCTCCCAACACTGCCAGGTGGTTATGTCGTTATCCTTATTTCACAGAGAAGTACACCGTCTTGAATTACGGGGAACAGGCATCTGCACTTGACTGGAGGCGGTTGGAGGTTCATTGCTTTGCCTTCTTTCCTGCCCTTCTTAGCCACGGACATCTTAGAATGACTACAGGATTATCTTTTGAAGTACAGCCATCATGTTGGGATGGTTTATCTGAACCAACAAGACCGTGTTTTGGAATTATTATCTATATAAAACCTATCACGAGTGAAGATATCACAATAATTCCCCTTGTTTCAGAACCTACAAGATGATTTAGGCAAGAGGCTATAAAACAATTTTTGTGTAGGAAACCAAGGTATCAGAATGACCCGGAAGCATGCTACTGCATTTCGTAAGACCTTAGCAAGAGCACTGGGTGAAGCAGAGAGGGGTAAGGGGCAAGTCTTTGGAGTCAGACACATCTGGGCTGGAGCCCCAGCATCTCCACTGACATTGTGACCCTGGGCCAGTTTTTAAATCTCAATAAGTCTTAATCTTCCCACCTGTATAATGGAGACTGTAATACCTATTTTGGAGGATTGAAGTAAGGATTAAATAAAAAAATTAAGAAATGTATGTAGAGTTCTTGGCACAATGTCTGGCATAGAGTATGCACGAAATCAAACTGTTTTTTATTAAAATGATGTCTGGCCCATGTAACTCAGTGATTCACCATGAAACAGAGGTGTATCATTTGAGTCTCTGAGCCTCCATCCTCAAACTCTTTTCCAACTGCCTGCTCATCTTTTCTTACTCGGCTCATGGATCCTCCCATCTCTCCCTGCCCCTGACTCTCAGCTCTCCAAAAAAAAAAAAAAGAAAGAGAAAGAAAGAAAGAAAGAAAAGAAAAAGAAAAAGGAGGACATACAGAAAAACCCTCTATTAAGACACTTGGCAAAAAGGCTTGTAATCATATGTTTATTTTAATTTCATTTTGCTGTCTTCCAAAACACAGGGCCGTGCAGAGCCATGCTTCTGTTTGCCTCCTGGGCATTTGTAGTCATCCAGTGGTAACATGAAACGCACAGTCCATTTAGAAACAAACATCTTTTTGTCTTTATTGCTGGGTTTGTTTGTGATGTCTGAATGAGCCGTTTAAGTATATGTTTGTATAGCTACTTATCAAGTGTTTTATGCTGGGTACAAAAAGAAGGTAGAAATGGCTATTATGTAACTCATGGTTTGCAACGCTGCCACAGAGTAGTGCTTGGGGAGTTAATGATGGAGGAGAGTGACTCTCACCTTTACATCATCTCTCCACAATGGTGGGCCACCAGAGGAGACAGCACAGTGGACAAGGGAAAGATCAGTTACCATGTGTTCAGCCCGAACGTAAGCCAAGACATAGGGTGATCTCAGTGAGAAAGAAAACCAAATGGTGGGTCATGGGAGACCCATGACTCTGGTACCCAAGACCGCAGTTAACTGGAGTGCCAGTAGGACAAGGGGTGTGTGTGTGTGTCCAGAGGTGAAGAAGGTAGAGACAAAGCTTGGAGTACTTACAGGGCGGGGTTGTGAAGGGACATGGCATGTGGCTTACCTGTCCCTGCTAGCCTGGGGGTGGCCTCTGAAAGGACAGACCCCGACTAGACAAACTATATGTTCCAATTCAGTGTTTATCAAAGGTATCTGAAGTCATTTGATGAATTCTGCCCATGTCCTGTGGTTATGCCAGGGGGAAATACTCAGTTGCGGTTTTGGGTCCCATATGAGTCTTTGTTATTTATTGGAAGGAGATATAATGAAAGTAGAGGGGAAACGAATTTTACAAATATATATATATATATATATCATATCATATATATATATGATTCAATAGCATCGTGTATAGGGCTGCTTGCCTGCAATTTTGGGTTTTTTTTTTCACTATTAGGAAATAAGGTCAGACAGGATTCTTCTCATACTCTGGTTTTGCCTTTGCAGTGTGTGTATGTCTCTGAGCAATACTATTTTTCTCAATCAGAATATATCTTTATAACACTTGCAAAATGTGTTAAATGTACTTTTAGAGGTGCCAGATGTCCTGTTTTACTCTCTGGGGGAATGCCTGTGTATTCTATCAAAGTTCCCAGAGGACAGAGTTCCTTAAACACCAAATGATAATAATAACAGCAGTAAAACCCGTAAGTATTCCAAGCGCCAGTCACACCTGGGCAGAGAATCATTATCCGGTGTGCATGTGGACAGTGAGATCAAAGAAAGGAAAAGCTAATTCTGTGTCTTAGTCTGAGGGGGCAGTGAAAAGAGATTGAGAAGTAAATGGTAAAAAAGACAAGAAAGGAATACTAAATATTTTGTGTGGTTTTTCTTCTTTTGCAGTTCTGTTCTGACCCCAAAGTGGATGATGCATTCAGGGCTGAACCACTGACCGGAGTCTGAAGAATTCCCATCTTCGCGTTGGCCATCGGTTGAGATAAGATGCAAGACTCTTACAAGGATAGGACTTCACTGATGAAGGGCGCCAAGGACATAGCCCGAGAGGTGAAGAAACAAACAGTCAAGAAGGTGAATCAGGCAGTGGACCGGGCCCAGGATGAATACACGCAGAGGTCCTACAGTCGGTTCCAAGATGAAGAGGACGATGACTGTTCCCCGCAGGGAGAGACCTATAGTGGGGAGGCCAATGATGATGAAGGCTCCAGTGAAGCTACTGAGGGTCATGATGAAGATGAGGAAATCTATGAAGGGGAGTATCAGGGCATCCCCCGTATGAACCAAGGGAAGGACAGCATTGTGTCAGTGGGGCAGCCCAAGGGCGATGTGCACAAGGACCGGCAGGAGCTGGAGTCAGAGAGGAAAGCCGATGAGGAAGAACTAGCCCAGCAGTATGAGCTGATAATCCAAGAGTGTGGTCACGGCCGTTTCCAGTGGGCCCTTTTCTTTGTCCTGGGCCTGGCCCTGATGGCAGACGGCGTGGAGGTGTTTGTTGTTGGCTTCGTGTTGCCCAGCGCGGAGACGGACCTATGCATTCCAAATTCAGGATCCGGATGGCTAGGTGAGTACACTGTGTCCGTGAGACAAATTCTGAACCCGGATTATTTGTTGAGCACAGTTAACAAATAGAATAGATACTTTTCATCTAGAGCAGTGCATTTTTCCCCCCAATACTTTGTTGTGAAAAATTTTAAACATACAGAAGAATCAAAAATATTGTACAAGGATGCCCATATATATCCACCACCCAGATCCTATAGTTAACACTTAATACCATATTTTCTTTATCATCTATCCATCCATCAATCCAACTTATAACATTATGCATTTCAAAGTTAGGGCAATAGATTTTAACTTACCATACTATAAATGTTTTATTGGTTTCTCCTTTATTAACATCCAAAGATATGCCTTTGGGAGTTAATAAAATTATTATATGAAAACCTATTTGAGTACTTTCCTAAATATAGAGGTTAATTCTATAAAACTCTGGCAAATGTGATTTCAAATTTCAAATTTTATGTGTAATACTGCGATTTAAATACTTTGGGGACCCTGCTAATTTTTTTTTCTATGATCTATGTGTATGTTTGCTTGTTTATTTTTTCAGTTAGTCTTATTCATAGAATTTTCTCTAGATGACTTTTTCTATCTTTTTCAAAGTTCATACCTTTGTGCCTAAACTGGAAAAACCTCCTCATGTAATTTTAAAATCTCTTTCAAATCCTATTAATATCTAAATTATATGTGTAAAAATAATATGACCTCTCTATAAAATATCTAGATAGCAGATTTGATTTTTGTTTTAAAGTTACCATGGGGCACCTGGGTGGCTCAGTCGGTTAAGCATCTGACACCTGATTTTGTCTCAGGTCACGATCTCACGTCGGGCCCGGTGCTGGGCGTGGAGTCTGCTCGGGATTCTCTCTCTCTCCCTCACCCTCACTCCACCCCTCCCCCTGCACATGCTCGCGCACACACACTCTCTCTAAGATAATAAGTAAGTTAATTAATTAAATAAATTAAACAAAATTAAGTTACCATGCCCTCAAGGTTCACGTTGTTACAAAGCCTTAGTTAACATTCCCACTTACTTCCCTCGCTCGATCTCGCCACCCTGATCATGACCTGAGCCGAAATCAAGAGTTAGATTTAACGAGCTGAGCCACCCAGGCGCCCCAGAATGCCATTTTCTAACCTGCTCTGTGATGTCGTGAGAGAGAAAATCATGAATGAGAAAAGGATCTTATTCTTTTAATAGTTGTTTCTTTATATGACTCCCTCCTAGCCTCTCTTTCTTTAGCCAATTAACTGAGTGAGGTAGATCCATGGAAGCAGACTGTGAGGGAGAGGGGGTGGGAATGGGGCATATTTTGCATGTTTTTGCTGGTAGACTCGTCTGTGTGTTCAGCCACCAAAATGCAGAACATGGTTCAGAGGAGAGTCCTTAGTCATTTGTCAAATTGATCATTTCAGTGTATCGCTTGTGTACCTAGCACTGTATTTTGTCTTCGCTTTTTTCTTTTGGTGAGCAGATATAACTACTGTAAGTTATTTTGGCATCAAAATATTGATCAAGATTTTGCAAAAGGAATACATCAGCAGAACATTTTAAGAAGCTAGATCTTTAGAAATACATCCACACACATATTTAATAATTGCAAGGTTGGTTTTAGGACAAACATCTTTTCACGTTGTGATCCTAGCTTCTATATTGGAAACATTTCAGGAAAATCTAAACTAAGCTTGCCCTTGTGCCTTTATCTTTTTGGTGCTGAATGGAAGCACAGTATCGCCCATGGTTCTCTTATCAGTCAGTCCATCCCAGAAACCTGCAAACCCCGATGATGTTAACATACCCCTAGGTGGCACCCAGAAGTGTAGAGAATGCTGTGGAAAAATCGAAGCCCAGATATTTTCATCTTTCCATGAATGTTGACTGCTTTAGTGAATTAAAAAATGTGTCCCCAGGAGTGTATGGTTTCACTCAACGTTGCGAGCCCTCAGCAGAAGCATTTTAATGGTTTCATAACTGTGCCTTCCGGACTTGCATTTCAGTTATTTTGCCATTGTAATTTCACTTATAATTGCATTCTAACAGAGTTTTTTTAGACAGGCATTTAAATTGTTTTGACATTTTCATTTCATCGAATAATAGCTTTGTAATATAATTACCACACTAAGTCACAGCAGTGGGATCAAAATACAAGAAAGATGCATGACCCATGTTTGGGGGTATTTGGGGGTTATAGATTTGCAAAATAATTTCTCATTTGCTACTGAGCATTGTGTCATTTTCTCAAGGAGGACCAGGAATGAAAATTGTGAACCAATTTATGTCTCAGTTATTTGGGAGATAGATCATCTCTTGGTGTTTGCAAGATGATTGACTTAAAGGGAGTTAAGAGCATCCTGTGTGTGCGTGTGTCTGTGTGTATGGTCTGTGTATTTACATAACATTGTTAATGGGCTGGGAGAAAGTTAAATATTTAATTATCTAACAAGCTGCTCTTTGAGGGGGTAAGTGCAGTCACTTTAAGATAATCCATGTTTTATTGCCAAAGTGTATTTATTGAGCCCTTATTATGTGCACAGCACGCTGTTACGACAGGTGATAATAGGACGAGTAAGGACAAGGTTTCTATATCCAAAGAAGTTACGGTCTAGTACGGAGAACTCACAGATGCCTGCAGGTTAGCGGTACGAAGAAACAAGTATCGATAGCTGGTAGAGAGCTGTAAATAAAGAGACTTGAGGCTGAGAGACCACATGAGGGGTTAGGACCTCACCAACGCGGCGGGGAAAAGGCAGGGATTTAAGAAAGGCAGGTTCCAGAGGATGGAGTCAGCAAGGGTTGGTCCTCGATTAAATCTGATGGTGGAGCAAGTGGACAGTTGATGAAAAAAAGGCGATTCATCAAATTGCGTAATGCAGAGGACAGGTTTTATCACGAGGAAGAAGGATGAAGGGTTGGCTTTAGACTTCTCACTATGAGATCCCTGGGGGTGTCCGAAGAGCCCCGTGGGCTGCTCTCCATTTGGGCTGAAGCACGGTTGGTTTGTGAGCCATCTCATTTACGATGACCCTGCCAGTGACCTTAAGCAGGGGGCCGGGGCTGTCCTGCAAAATGCCATTTACGGGGCTGGTGGTGAGGAGGAGAGCCGAGAAGGAGAAGCCGGGGCAAGAGGAGCGGCCGGGAGAGCGGGGAGGCCTGGAAGTTGCAGGGAAAGGAAGAGATGTGGAACTCTTGGGTGCTGCAGGGTCGTGCTGGTAAGATTGCAGAGGGTCTCTCGGTGCAGCCATTGAAGAAGTTCTTGGCTGTGCAGACGGCTCTTGAGACGAACGTAGTGAGCAAGGCTAGGTGAATAAAGGGTTCGGTAGCTAAAAAACAGCACAAATTTTTACACATCTTATCTGGAATATCGGTGACTTCAGCTGCCACTCTGGTGTTATAATAGGTTCTGTGTTGGATTAAGCAGTTATTTATGCAGTGGCTTTATGGGCGGGGGGCGTGGCCCAAGGCTCTTTCAGGGAGATTGAGATGAGTAAGGATTGGTTCCTATTATCAAGGGAGATCATGGTATTTCCCATCTGTTGGTGTCTTAGGGATTTAGGCAGACCCTGTCATCTTTTTTTTTTTTTAAATTTTATTATGTTATGTTAGTCACCATACATTACATCATTAGTTTTTGATGTAGTGTTCCATGATCCATTGTTTGGGTATAACACCCAGTGCTCTTTTCAGTATGTACCCTCTTTAATACCCATCACCAGGCTAACCCATCCCCCCACCCCCCTCCCCTCTAGAACCCTCAGTTTGTTTCTCAGAGTCCATAGCCTCTCATGGTTTCAGACCCTGTCATCTTAAAAGTGAGGGGAGGAGCCCTGGGCATGTGGGCGACTTGCTGAGTCTAGGGCTGTGTATTGGGAGAGGCAGACTGTGGAACACACATCCCAGCTCCTCATCCCATGTTCCTTTCCAGTTCTCTAACATTTTCATTTGAAATCCTCTCAATTGGGTTTACTCCTAGGAGAAGACAATATTCTCAATTACTGGCAGAAATATACCACTTTGGTGTCTCAAGGATGATCTAAAACTCACTTTTTGTTTGTGGACTCCAACGGTGTAATCACCTGTTGGTTTTCGATCTTTTTTGTCCTTTTCCAAAAACCCTAATAGGGGATATTGCCTGGTTTTGCTTTTTGTTTTCTGTTGTTGTTGTTGTTGTTGTTGTTGTTTTGTTTTGTTTTGTATTTATAGACAGTACATAATGGCAACAGTCACAAATGAGAAATAAAATTTTCTCTGAGAATTAACATGTGAAATCAGCCCATAGTACAAAGTCATCTTAAAGGGGCAGAGTAGTAGAAGTTAAAATAGAGGGAATGTAAACCGCATGGGACCAGGGCTTCTTGTCTGTGTTGTTAACTACTGTCTCTCCCCTACCCAATCAGTTCTTGGTACTTAATAGAATCTCAGCAAATATTTGAGATGACCGTCTGTGAGATTATTAACACTTTGAGACCTCCCTGAAGATACTGATATAGCTAAAGTAAGAATGTGTTGTTTCGAATGGGACTTCGTGGTTGGTCGTGGAAGACCAACAGGAGAGAAAGTTGGATGCAGATGTTGGCGGTGCCCTCCTAAATGCCGTCAGGGTTGGTATGCCCTGACCTAAAAATTTTAACCTGTGTGTTTTTGGGACCACATGTATCCCCATTTTAAGGGAGACCACATTAGCCTGGAGTCTGGGAAGACATGACCTCCTGTAGCAAAGACCTTTCATTCTAATTCATGCTCCATAGCACTTTCAAGATTTCAGATGGAGCCTTCTTTAGAGTTTTCCCATCAGGAACGTGCTTGCCAAAGGATGCCAGTCTTGGCTATTCTGGTTTTTTGTTTTAATTAACCAAATGTCCATTCTGGTTTTTTCCATCTGTCTTGGTGAGGTTGACTACTGGCAGTCTGCTCCCGAAGATGGATCTGTTTAGGATGTGCTGTTACGTCCAGGTCTGGAACATGTAGGACCCAGGCCCAGAGTAGGACTGGATGGGAGTAGC